GCCAAAGAAAAATTTATTTTGTAACTTTTACAATATTATAAAACACTGTCACATATGTATGTATGTATTGTTTTCCTAGTTGAGGGAGTCGAGCAAAAGCTAATGTATTTTCTTCAGCATCGAGCTATCTGAAAACAGCGAATGGCTTAAGAAAGAGCCGTCGATAAAAATGAACTTGCCGAATAAAGAGCAGAGGTCGAATTAATCAAAAAATGATAAATAAACATTAAATACTTGATCGAGTAAAAAGTAATCCATTATTTTGGATAGATATAGAATAAATAGAGCGAAATACTCGTACGCTAGAAGGTATTAGAAAGCTAATATTTTGTACAAAAATACCCAGTAGTAAATGAGCGCATGCGAAAAATGGACAATAACAAAGAGAAATCAGACAGCAAGTGCGGTCCTAATATTATAACAGTCAATAAAGATTTCGCCGATTTCGTTCCGGAAATTTTGATGTCGAATATGCTGCACGATGTGGAAAGCAAATTGTCGAAAAAGTCTATAAAATAACAAAAATCACGAGTCTGACCCTCACGAGAGTACTGTTGCGATTGTTCAGAAGCTAAATATTGCAAAAAAACACAGTTCGGGAAAATTTGAAAAAGGATACACAAAGAAGCTTCCACATAATTTAACGAGAAATAATCCATAACGAACCGATGTTCCATCTGCGAATCGTTGCTTAACCGTAACAAAATCATACCAAAATCGACATATTTCGGAAGCGAATGTTGATGGTAATAAAAAGTGGATCACTTACGGCAATGTTAAATGAAAACAGTGGCGTTCGAAAAGCATTGAGCCGATTCAAACGGTCTCCAGGTCAAGATTGATAGCCAAGTTTTTCTGTATATTTGGTGTGATTGGCAAGGAATCATCCACTATGAGCTGCGTGATACGGTCAAAATATTATTTCGGAACGGAATTGTAAGCATTTGGACGATCTAAAGGAGACGATCAAACAGAAGCGGTCAGCTTTGGCCAACGGTAATAAAATGTGTTTCATCAGGTCAACGTAAAACCGCACACATCGATAGTGACTCGCTTGAAGCTTTGAAAGCTTGGTTGGGGAGTTCTTATGTTTCCACCTTATAGCCTCAAACTCGCACAGTTACTGTCTATAGCGAATTATTTTGGTGGGGAAGAATTGGCCTTAAGAGAGTCCAGTAAAAACCGATTGTCCAAATTTTTTTAACCATATGGACATTATCTAAAAATGCTAAAAAATTCTAGAACAAAATCGTATGTATTTCACGTAAATTGAATTATTCTAATTATGGTAAATAGAGCCTTAAATTTATTACAAAAGTAATGGCAATATTTAAAAAAAATTAAATAATTTTAAAAAATGGAATAGCAAAATTATTGTAAAATTTAAATTGATTTTCTAAAATCAACAGAGTGCCAATAATATGTAGTAATTTTAAGTTAACAGTTTTGAGCAATATTATTTTTGCTATAACAACAAAAAATAGCAAGTACATAACAACAAAGAAACATGAAAAATTTATCAAAAAGTATAACTAAATACCACTGACAATATATATAAAAAAAGTAAAAAAAAATAGAAGAAAAATATTTAAATTTTCAATATATACAAAATAAAATATGTATACAAAGATAAAACCAAAAACAAACACAACAAAAGTGGAGTGCGCGCATTTTGAACGCGTTTCATTGACTTTTTGCCCGCTTAGCTTGGCTGCCAACTCACTTACTCAATCACCCGACTGACTGGTTGACTAAATGGCTGAATTCGTTGTCATTCGCAGTGCTCCTCCGCCTTCGGAGAATATTTGTTTAGGACGTGAAGCAGCCAAACGACATGATGCCAACACAACAACACGAATGTTGCTGCTTCCTTGTCAAACCGGTTGCAAAGCAGGAAAAGGCGGCGAAGAATTTGCGCAAATTAAATAAAAATAAAAATGAAATAAAAAATATATTGAGAAAACACTAGCAAGAAGAGAACAATTAAAGTGGGAGCTGAAAATGTTAAAACAGGGTCTTAGTGCGTCTATGTATGTGTGCTATATTGTGGTTGTTTGTGTGCAGCAACAAGTACGGAAATGCATAGAAATAAGAAATTAAAATAAAAACGGACTTAACTACATTAGCAGCTTAACAAGCTTAACTAAACTTTAAGGCGCTCAAAAAAGTCAATGTACAAAAGCGCAGCCTAGTGAAGGCGTATCTGGATATATGCATATGTGTGTGTACGACCAACGAAAAGCCGCTTTGTGTGCATAAGCTACGTGTGTGTGTGTTCGTATAGGCACTTTTATGGCTTTAAGCGCATCAATTTTTCTTGTACTCAATTTTCAACCACACATACACGCGAGTATTGCTCTCTTTTTCGGTCCACTCTTTCGCCACCAGAGCGCATAGATCGCAAGAACATCAGGCATTACCACTTTTCTTTCATTCTTTCTTTCATTCTGCAACCTTTGAAAGCATTCGTTCTGTGAAAAAAACCAGTTTCGAGGTCGGTTGCACACAGCTTCCAATAGTCCAGCGGTTGTGCGGCTGTGTTGCAAGCGGATTGTAGTTATTTGTGGCTTATTGCACTGTTTGCTTTGTAAGTGTATACATATATGTTTGTATTGTTCTCGGTACTTGTATTGCTTCATTGCAGCAGCAACAACAGCAGCAGCAGCAGCAGCAGCATCGGTAGAAAAGAATACTGCTTACCACTGCATACAGACCACAAAAACTCGTTTGAAGTCCAATTCTTGTTATGATTTCTTTTTGCTTTGTTTTCGTACTCCCGAACTTTCGCGGATTCCTTTGCTCTTTCACTTGATTTTCGTGCAATCACAAAATCAAATTTCATTTGTTAGGGAATTGAGGGAAAAGAAGAAAAGTGTTAAATACTTAAAGGTCAAGCATTTTTTGGGAAGTTTCTTAGAATATTTTCTCTACAGTTGGTCGGCCTCTAAGAGTTCCATGAGCCCATTTTGAAGAGCCCGAGCCGTGGCGTGAAATTCGTACGATTAATCTACAATTAAGACCACGAAGCGGGTAGGTTCAGAGCTCTCAATGGTCTAGTATAGATATTTTTACTGTACGTTCGGCAAGCGAATTCATATCTTTCTCAGAGCACACATACTTTTATTGAAAAAAAATATTTAAATATACTAATTAAACAAAAAGGTTCAACAACTTATACATTTGTTGAACCTTTTTGTTCCATCTTCATTTGAACACACTCTGCATTTAGACCTAAGTTTTGAAGATATTAGCTCATATGGCTGGTCAAGACATCTACTAAGATCACTTTTGCTAATAGAAACATTAACTATCTACATGTGCTGCCGGTCTACAGCAGCTCAATGGTATGCCTTGCATTGAAAGTGCACCTGAGCCTTAAGAGTTCCTCAACAAGGGTTCAGAACTACTACATTGCTTAATTTAGCATTAAAAGCCAGTTAAACATTTGATGATATCGTTGGTGACAGCCCAGCCAGCATAGCTCGACTGACTTGACTGTATCTTCAGCAACCGTATGACGTGAAACTCAAGTGTTGCTCACCCTCAAAGTTTTTTATTCACCTTAATTGCTGCTTGACTGTCGACAAGTAATCGACTAGATGTCCCTATTAAAGCAACTTCTCTTCAGGGTTGGCCACTGAAGAACTCTACCCAATGTTCCCTGCTCGCATAAGAGCTTGCGGCGTCCGCCTGTGTAAAAATATCTTTTTCCCAATCAAATTTTAAATGTACCCTGCCATGTCGTCTAGGAGGCTGGCATTTAGACTGTTTTCTACTCCCAAGGCTTTTGTTGAACGTTTAATGCGGGATTTATTTTTTAGTATGGATCTTAAGTCACTGCACTTATTAAAAGCATAGTCCTGATTTAAGCGCAATAGACTCCCGGCAGATAATATAGTTAATTGTTCTCAACTCACTAATTGAGTGTCTGTGTGAACAACTAATAATTCATAGAAACTGCTCATTTTGCTACAGTTACGGGTTTAGATAGAACATTGTTCTCAACTAGCTAATAATGGCGGCCGCGGTAGCCGAGTTTCTCAAATTTTTTACTGACATTATCAGGGCTCCAGTTCACATCCCGATTCCCCCAAAATCCAAAAATTATAAAAAATTAATTTAAATAAAAAAAAATTAAGTTAAATTTCTTAATTGCCATCACCCTTCGGCAAGGAATGTCTACCCCTCCGAATGTATTTCGAACATGAAATAGAGGCTCCTCGTGAAAAAGACCATCAGCCGTTCGGAGGCGGATAAGTATAAACTGTAGGTCCCTCCATTTGTTTGGAAAAACATCAAGACGCAAAACCACAAATTGGAGGAGGAGCTTGGCCGAAAATTCGCCTCAGCGGTTACAAAGCACCAATTATATGTATATATATATGTATATATATATATATATATATATATATATATTATTATATAGTATTCATTGAAAATACTAATTTTGCTACATATACGGGGTTAGATAGATAATTGCCCTCAATTAACTAATTGAGTGCCTGTGGGAACAACGTTTGAAAAATTAATTCAAATCAAATTTATTACAAATATGGTAATTTAAAAAAAAATCTTTAAATTCATTACTAATTATACGTTTTTTTTTCCTTTCGTTTCAGTTGTTACACTGCTATACACCGAAATTAAAGTGAATAGAAAAGTTTTCTTCAGAATATTTTGAAAAAAAAAAATTGTCAGCAAAATACATATGTAACATTGTTTTAAAGAAAAATATTATGCAGACATATCAAGAAAAAAATTAATGCCATAAAAAATAAACGATTTCATGCGTGTCTACATGCAATGCGCCATTAAAAATAAACAAAAAATAACAGTGGCACAGACATATGTACGACTACCTACATACATATGAACAATAAAATATATACATATCACGTATACAGTATATAAAGTATAATATAAAAAAATAAAAATAAAGAATAAAAATAATCAAGCGACTGCAAAACTAAATAACTTAAGACCAAATATAAGAAAATAAAAAAAACAAAAAAAAACTTTAAAATAATCAAGAAAAAAATTATTTTTGTCGCAATTTAATGACAAACAACAACTGTAGCAAAAACAAAAAAAAAAACACTCACCATTATGCAAGCAAATAAAAGCAAAAACTAAAGCATGCAAATAATGTTCATGCAATCAAATAAATAAATAAGTAAATTCCAAATACAACAGTAGTAAGCGCATTAAAAAATAATAAGTTCGCAAAAAAAGCAAATTGGCTTGCTGTCACAATTCGCACACACCCATATGTGTATGTGTATAATTTTGCGCCTCTACGTAGTCAGCGCAGTATTGAGGCACGCTTGTTAAAGAGGGAGAGCAATTTTTATGGTAAGTTGCATAGTCATTTTACTGTATTTTGCTTTTTCTATTTTCGTGCATATTTTCGCAATTTTCATTTTTATTTATTTTTTCTTTTTTTTTTTTGCCACTACTTCTAGCCATACCATACATACTTTACTTCTTTGCGGCATATTTGTGGCGAAAGAAAGTTCGAAAGAAATTTTTTGTGTGCTTCTTTTTCGTGTTCCTCGTATTTTTTCCTTCTTTTGGTTACTTAGTGTTTTTTTTTTTTTTGTTTTTGCCATAATGTCCGTATACGCTTTGTGTCGCCAATACATGTTAATAGCTACGTTATGGGTTAAGTGGCAGAAATTGTTGCATACTCTAAGGCGCTGCCGTTGTTAAAGCTGTGTTAAAGCGAGAGTGTTTTAATTTTTTCGAGTATATACTGCGTGCTTAAAAAATTTAAACAAATATCAAATAATTTTTTTTTTTCAATTTCAAATTAAAAAAAATATCAAAATATTAAAATAAGTTCGAAGCACTTCTGCATAATTTTCCTACATTAACTAACTTCATCGCAATAATGTTGAAAGTTATACAAAATTTTTAAATTGACTACAGTCAATTTCTGTCGCACATTTTGCCGCATTCATTAAACGTGACATTTATTTATACGACTTTTAGCAGTGTCACTTGAACTCTCAATGAACTCTACGTACGGCTTTTCAAGTGACTTTGCAAAAGTGTCATAACGGTATTTTTGGAAAATTCGCTAATGTGAGTTGAACTAAACTTGCTTAACGGTGTGCTTGCTATGTTGACTCATACACTCTATGTTGATGCCACATGTCATTCACATAACTATGCACAAAACTGTTAAACTTGGTCATATGCCACTTCAACTCCACTGGCAGGTATGTTTTAGACACTTACTGAAAACTATCTTTTAAAAATTAATATGCAATGCAGCTAATTTAAGTTGTTCAAAAAAAAAATTAAAATAAACTCAAGTTCGACAAACGTTGGGAAAGCTTATTTTGCATTCGAGAAAAGCTCAGATTGGCGGTATTAAAATTTTTTTGAAATGAATTAATATTTAAATGTGAAAAAGTAGTTTTGTTTAATTTCAGATGAATATAAAAATTAATAAATTTAAAAATGTTTTCTGAAGTAAAAAACATGAAATTAAATTAAATTCAGCTCCAAATTGAATTATGCAAATAACTAGGATCTGCTTTTCAAGTGTCCTATGGCGAATTTGTTAGAGAAATGAACGCTCGCAGACCAAATGAACGACCGTTGTATTATATATTTTACTAAAAATTCCCAGCTGTGACTGCGTTTGTTATAAAGAAGAGTCCTTTTAGGCGCATACCCCTAAAATCGCTGATAACCAGTTATTGGGGCTATAGACTATACCAAAGCCTCTAAAGTACTTTTTTCATTGAATAAAAAAAAATATTATAGTGATTAAAAAAAATTCCGCGATCTTGATTAAGTTCCACTAGAACTTTATGCATAAGAGATACTTAGAGGTGTAGTAAAAATAAAGAATAAATTGCCTAAAAACATTTTTTTTTGTAAAAAATTAAAATTTTATTTTGTATAAAATTTAAATAAAATAATTTTTAAATCAGATTATTTGATTCGCCTCGTTATTTTTTTTAGTTCAGCTAGTAATTTTAAGAAAGGTTATATGGAGTTGCAATGGACAGGCACTCAGCTGCTGAAGATGCCGAGTTGCCCTGCTAGCGGGCTTAAGGCAGTAATATACTTTACAACCAATAAAAAAGCGCTTTTCCAGCAATTGTCTTGAAAAGGAAGAAAATTATTGCGGTAAATGAAATTTGCAGACAATAATTTACTACTATTTAAACATCAAAAATCAATTTTCAACAACAAAAATTATTGGATTTTTCCAATGTTGCAGCGAGTTATCTTAAGCGTCTGCAGTCTGAACTTGTGAAACGGTGTAGGTCATGGATGTCGTGCGATGCAAAGGGGAAAGTCGAATCAATTATTTATCATTAATACGTCTCTTCCATAGGGACTAAAAAAGTACCGAAGAAGTTGGAGAACTTCAAGTTTTTTTTGAAGTTTGAAAAAAGTTCACTTTTTGGAAAAAAAGAAATTCACTTCCTATTGTAAAACATATCTGTTTCTGTTTCTGATCCAATTTTTTTTTTGGTTTAAATAGAAAATAATTGAAGTTGGATCCCCTGATTTTTTTCGATCGCACAAATTTTCTTTTCGCTATCACCACCGGTACCATTTCACCAACAATTGTAAAAATAAAATAAAAATAAAACTCGAGAGAACGCGCTTCAAAGTTCTGCGCGAACTTTCTCGACGCTGAACAAAGAGTAAGTTGAGTGAATCGCTTACGATGAAGGAGTTTATAATTGAAGAAACTAAGGTATTCAAAGCTTTTTTTCACATCAAAGGCTGCAGCTTGCAATATTAAGGAAATATTCTTGAGCAAATCTATTGCTCTAAGTAAATAAAAAATTTTTTATTAGTTATTTATCAATCGAAATAAAACATCTTAAAAAAATTAAATTTGGATTTTTTACAAAAATATGAATGTTCTCCCTCTGAAAGTAGTACTCCCGGAAAAAAGATACTTGCGCCGCCAGCCTTAATTCAATCTTCGGCGCAGCTCTAAACGGCACTTAGTATATTCTTCAGCTCTCGGAATCTTTACATTTTCATTTAGATTTCATTTTAGATTTTAGATTTTCATTTTAGATTTAATAGACAGTATCAGTTGGTCAAAAAAGTTGCGTGTTGTTGTTGTAACCGTCAAAAATTTTCCCAATTTCGTTTTCAGGGAACATTGCGGGAGTGACAGTCCTTCTCCGGATAAAAAATCCGGGTCGTTCCGGTATAAAGACTCGATTGTCGCTTCAACTATTTTATTTTACTCGCCTCTTACGACGGGCTAAAACATGCCCGTGGGACAAAACTTGTATTATTCCTGGAAATATAATCTATTAACTGATGATTGTGACTTGAGTTTTTTGGAACAACTTATACACGTAGGTATTAATAAATCAATTATTGAATTTCAGTGCCAGAAAGACAACAGTTGTTGTAAGTCTGTGAAACACTTTTACTCTATAGGGTTGCAGAAGTACTCAAGTCAAACATATGCAGTCAAAAGTACTAGTTGTTAACTAGAAACAAACTGCTTCATCTGCCATATATTTTCCATAATAACAACAATTATTTTTAACAGGGTAATCTTCTGCGAAATATCAACCGTCCAGACATGCATCAGCTTAATACTAGTTAAATACTAGTTCACAAAAATGAATTAATTTAAATAGGAATGAATGGTCTTACAGCGATAACCTCCAATCTCTCGGTTATTATGACGATGAAGCGATTAACGTACTTTTGCGCACTTCAACAGAGCGTAACTGAGCATAGCCGTGACTTGGTGGAACAACAAATAGAAATTATTATTACTCCCGTTGCTGGGCAACTGTCAAACAAATAAGCAACTCGTATAATTTCATCTTCAAACATTAGTATTTAATAAGAATTTTCGCATACTCGTATGGCTTCTCCCGATAATTGGTCGATATTAAAAAAAAAAATATCTATAATTTTTAGCATTTAAAAAAAAGTTATGTGCATTATATTCAAATTTCCAATTAAATGAAAAAGTTGTGAGTTTTAGCTTCATACGCTACAAATTAATTTTTATTTGCATATTTTCCCAACATGCTTAAACGCGTATAAATGCTCCAAATACTTTTCGCCATCGCCACCGACCGGTACCAACCAACCAACCAACCGTCTCCATCATAATCCAGTAAATAAATAAAACTTTACCAAGCAGGAAAAGTGCAAAAATTAAATTAAGAAGCACATTGACAATCAGGACCTCCCACTTAACCATTGATGCGTACACACTTGACTTGCAACGAGCGAGAGCACTCACCAGTGTAGCGCTGCGCAAACTGTATCTACGTTGTTATGCATATATACACGTATGTGTGTGTGTGTGTTTCCGCATAACACTCCTTTCAACTATCATACATACAACTAACTACAGTTCACTTCACTTGACAAACCAATGACCGCCATAACGAGAAGAAAAATGCTACCAAAAATAAAAAAAAAATAGAAAAATAAATAAAAAATTACGAAAAAAAAAATTACAATAAAAACTTGAAACGAACGAACGAAATTATGGCGGACTTAGTGGAGAGAAAAGTAGAAAAGTCGCAAGAAAATATTGGCGTAAATATAAAATTGTAAAAGAAAATTGTGGAACTTCAAATGAAAGTTGTCGAGTGAAAAAGTGACTAAAAATAAAGCGTAAAACGGAATAAAAGTTGTTAAAGGAAAGCGAAATAAGTTCATTTCTGTCACACACATACACACACACCCACACACGCATACACATACACTAATAGCAGTTCAACTCTCTTCCACTCTAGCGCCATTTACTTCCTGCTCGAAGCACTGTTGTTGCATTTGCTAAAGCCGGCAACGGCACCGGCACCGGCGATTGGGTCATAAAAGCAACGAGAAATAACGAACTTAGTAAACTTAAATTTTATTTATTTTTTCCGAAATCGCGTTTATTCTTTTTTTTCTTTTGCTTTTTCTACGCTTTTTTTTCAAGCTGACGCTTTTCTCTATAAATTTGGTTAGTTTATTATGATTTTATAGCTGGCGATTCAGAGCAGCAGGGGTTGGAGCGGCAGTAGCCAGTGCTGTACTCTTAGTGAACGCCAAAAAAAAACACCGAAATATAAAAATAACAACATCTAAGTAAAGGGAAAATGTACTTATCGTGGCGACAAGTGATGGCATGACATCAAAAAATATGGCATGACATCGCACGAAATACTTTAGATGACCAAAAAGTAGTAGTTAGTTATTACTTTTATATTCTACACTATGTGTATGTATGTGTATACATATATAAGTATGTACATAATGGTTGTTGATAACTCTTTGCGCTTTGCTCTCATCGACCTCATTGTGCGTTTCAAAATGTTCGCTGGTAAAAGGTTTGCAAGATGATT